CAGGAGTTCCAGACCAGCTTGGCCAACTTGGTGGAACTCTGTCTCCACTAAAAATACAAAAAGTTAGCTGGGCATGGTGGCACATGCCTGTAATCCCCACTACCCATGAGGCTGAGATAGGAGAATCACCTGAACCTGGGAGGCAGAGTTGCAGTGAGCCACAATCACGCCACTCTACTCCAGCCTGAGTGACAGAATGAGACCCTATCTCAAAAAGAAAAAATAGCCAACAAAGACATTAAAATAATTACTATAACTATATTATATATGTCTCCAAATCTGAGGCAAGGGAGATTTATACACTACAGATTAGTGAAGCTCTGCAAATCACCAAATAAGAAACATAACGGAACTGACACCAGGCATATCATAACCTAGTTGTTCATAATGACTGGTAAAGTATAAAATCTTAAAAGTAACCAGAGACAGGAGACACTATGTGGAGACATGAAGGTAAATAAAACAGATTTCTCATTGGAAAGAGTGAAAGCAAGAAGACAATATATTGGAACAATATATTTAAAGAAAGAACAAACTGTCAACTGATAATTTGAAATATCATAGCTTTTGAAAACAAAGGCAACATATATATACTTTTGCATATATACAAAGGCTGAAATAATTACTCACAAGCATAACTGCACTACAAAACTAGTCAAGGAAGTCCTTGTGACAGAAATAAAATGATACCGGATGGATACATGAATTGACACAAAAGAATGAAGAACACCAGAAACGGTAACTATGTGAGTTAATATATTTGTTATTATTATTATTACATCACTTTAACAATGTACTGTTTAAACAAAAATAATAACAATGTAGTGTGGGGTATATGTAAGAGCAAAACGTGACAAGAATAGCACAGAGGTTGAGGGAGGAAACATGGAAATATATTAGTGTAAGTCTCAAACAATAAATGACAAGGTATAGTATTAATTGAATGTAGTCTGTGATAAGTAAAACACGTATACTACAAATCCTAAAATAATAAAGCAAAGAGTTATAGCTAATAAGCCAACCAAGGTCATAAAATGGAATCAAAAAATTTATTCAATTAATCCAAAAGAAGATAAAAACACGAAGAGAAAGAAAACAAAAACAACAAAAAGAGATGAAATAAATAAAAGCTAAATAGAAAAATGCTAGATTTAAACCTAACCATATCAATAAACACATTAAATATAAATGGTCTAAATATTCTAATTAGAAAGTAATATTCTGTAGCATTATAAAGTATAATTAGCAATAATTTATTGTATATTTCCAAGTAGCTAAAAGAGCAGATTTTGAATGTTTCCAATACAAATAAGTGATAAATGTTTGAAGTGATGAATATGCTAATCACCCTAATATTGATAGTTACATATTGTATACATATATCAAAATATCACACTGTATCTCATATTTATAATTATTATATGTCAATTTAAAATACTAAAAGCAAAAAGATTAAAAAGTTAGAGATTATTAGATTGGATAAAAAAGCAAAACTCAACTATACGTTTCCCACAAAAATAAATATGCATGAGAAAAACCTTTGTAACCTGGGCTAGTCAAAAATGTTTTTCTTTTAGGTACAATATGAACAGCATAACCTATAAAATATGAAATTGATAGACTTCACAAAAATTAAAAACATATGCTCTTTAACGCTGTTGTGAGAATAAAAAGACAAGCCAACACTAGCAGAACAGGTTGTAAATTATAAAATCAAATAAAGGCTTTATATCTAGAATACAGAAGGAATTATAAAAACTCGATAACAAGAAAACAACCTAATAGAAAGTAGGCAGAAAATTAGAACAGAAACTTCAACAAGGAAGATATGAATGATAAAGGAGCACATGAAAAGATGCTCAACATCATTCGTCATCAGGGAAATGCAAATTAAAACTACAAGATACCACTACACTTCTATTAGAATGAATACAATTAAAAAGTCTAACTAAACTAAGGATTTGGAGCAAGTGTAATTATATACTGTTGCTGAGAATGTAAAGTGATACTACTTTGGAATACAAACAGTTTGACAGTGTTCTGAAAAGTTAAACATACAGTTAATATGTGATCCACTCTCAGGTTTCTACCAAAGATCAATGAAAGTCTATGTCCATGCCAACTTGTAACAGTTTCTTTCCTTCTTTCTTTCTTTCTTTTTTTTTTTTTTTTTTTTTTGGAGAGGAATCTTGCTCTGTGGCCCAGGCTGGAGTGCAGTGACGTGACCTTGGTTCACTGCCACTTCTGCCTCCTGGTTTCAAGTGATTCTCCTGCCTCAGCCTCCTGAGTAGCTAGGATTACAGGTATGTGCCACCATGCCTGGCTAATTTTTGTATTGTTAGTAGAGATGGGGTTTTACCATGTTGGCTAGGCTTGTCTCCAATTCCTGAGCTCATGATCCCCCCAAAAGCCCAGGGTGAAAAAACACAAAAATCCACAGACAGCAATTGAATAAACATATTGTAGCAAATCCATACAATTTGATGGTACTTCAGTAATAAAAAGGAGCTAACTACTGATTCAACAACATGGATATATGTTAAAATAATTATGCTGATTGAGACATACCAGATAAAAAAGAATATATACTGTAGGAGTCCACTGATATGAAACTCCAGAAAATGCAAACTTATCTGTAGAGGCAAAAAGCAGATAAGTGATTACCCTTCAGATGGGGGAAATAAGTCAGTAAAGGGGTCAGAGAAAAGGATTATAAGGCAAGAAAAGAAAACTTTTGGGGTAAGATCTGTTTATTAAGGTATTGGTTTCACGGGTGTACATGTATGTCAAAATGGATCCAATTGTACACTGTAGTGTATAGTTTACTGTATGTAAGTTATATCTCATAGAGCTGTTACAAACAAGAACAGGATCATTGTCCATCAGGCATTTAAAAGTTAATTACTGAAAGAAAACATACATACAAAATTAATGTAATGAATAAGAAGATAATATAAAGAGTTTTGTACAAAATACATGAGAAGTAGAGACCAGTGATTCTAAAGCTTTGATATGCATCAGAATCACCTGAAGGGAGTATTTAAACATAGATTGTTGGCCCCAATGCCCAGTTTTCTGATTCAGTAGGTCTGGGATGGGGCTCAAGGATTTGCATTTCCACAGGCTCTCTGTTAATGCTGATGGTGCTGGTCCCAGGACCACACTTTTAGAATCACTGATATATAAGAGAATAGGACAATACAGAATAAAGGGCCAATTTAGAAAAGGGAGAAATTACAGCATTTCTTGAAAAGCTTTCTTTTTTCCTTAAGTTCACAATGAAACAGAATTCCAGTGAATAAAATTTTATTTTATTCTCAGAATTTCTTTCCTTCAAAATTTTACTATGTTCCTACTGAAAATTCCACGCTTTGCGAGTAGATCTCATACTACCTAATTGCAGAATCCACTGGTTTAGAGACAGTCCATATCTTCTTAGAGAGCAATTAAATATCAAACCAGTGAGTAAATTAAGAATAGGGTGAGGGTATATTTCAATTAGTCAAACCTTTTATTCCCACTTTCTGCCATATTTCAATTATTCTTCTCCTATACCCTTTTGAGAAACTGTTGTTACTGTAGGTTTAAAATAAATAAAAATAGTTTCTCTTTCTCAGGAGTCACAGGCTTTGTTCTTTGCCATTTCCTCTCCAACACTTTTTCTCCTACCTGCTCACTTTCATCTGGTTAATCCTAATTTGTCTTTTAAGCCTAGGATAGACAGCACTTATGTGCAAAACTTTTCTGGGCACACTTCACGCTCACTCTGCTGCACAGGAAGCTCCTCCTTTGTGCTCCTTGTCTCTACTGCCTCTGCCACCTTGCACTAAATCATCTTATCATGCTCATCCCATTTTTTTTCTGCTTCTTAAATAATGTATTTCTCTTTAACTTAATGAAATTGCATTTGGGACATCCTAGCTTCTTTGATCCCCTCTGAGTTACAGAGTGTTAGGGATAGAGAAGGAGGGAGTCAAGAGGTCACAAAATCTAGAATCATAAAACTAGAGAGACAGAACATGGAATGAAATTGTAAATATACAACATATACTTGCATACAGGCACATACAAACATTTTGGGGGTTGTTAATGACTTCCCTAAGGATAGTAATTTCAAGTGGCTCCAATCTTTAACCCAGATTGAATCACAGGACAAATCAAGTTTCCCAATTCCTACTCATGCATTTGACATATTTATGGTCTGCTTTTATAGCTTTTGATCACAATTTCCTAGGAGGCAGCTGGTCCCTAAATCAACAAGTCAGGAAAAAAAAAAAAAAAAAGAACAGCCAAAGTCCAGTCCTGTTAACAAAATTACCTATTGAGGAGGTCAGTGCTGTTTGAAACACATATAAAACATGAGAGTGACTTTTAAAATGTCTGCTATTGGATGAAGATTACATTTAAAGATTCCAATTGTACTTTCGTATGACGCTATACTTCTGTGGTAGTGCTTTGCCCAAAACAAAGGTTTAAGGAAATAAAAATAATAAAAATGATACAGAAAAAAAAACAAAAACCACTTTTCTGAAAATTTTCATTTCAACCAGAAGCAAACATGTTATAAGACAAAGCAGAGTTAGGAATAACTTAGTGTTTCTCTCAGGAATAACTGTGATCTTCCACACTTAGGGATTGATGGTCAGCGGTAACTTAGATCAACTCAAGAAGGAAGCATCTGCGGCTCTCCACCTCAGGAGATGCTGCTCAGAGACCCAGTACCTTGGGAGAACACCCCACGTTCTCTGGGGAGGTCAAGAGTTTGGAACTCAGGATCATACTGAAGAAGCTCAGCCCAGGAAAGTAGCTGATCTAGGACGTAGGCTTCTGACTTCCAGACTCTACTATCATCATCAGAGGCCCAAAGTTGGGTCCCATACCCAAAGAGTATAATGATTCCCAGCCTTCAGCACAACAGGAATTGACCAGGAAAGAAAGACCTTTATTCCTCTGACAGAAAAGCCTGATTCCCACCACCCCCCCAAAAATGATACTTTCACCTTGTTCTCTTTCTCAGTGGATCTATATTTTCATGAATGAAGAAAAGAAAAATATCGAACTCTCCGATTAGAAACGTTTCTTATAAGAAGGTTTACAATAGGCTTCAATTTTTTAAAGCTATGCAGAAAAACAAAATTTACCACAAAGGAATAAAGAGCACTAACCAAAGAAATTTCACTCTCACAGATTTTGTAGCACCTCAGAACTTCCTTTGGAAGGGAAGGACAAAGCGGCCATTTGCTCAGCTTAGATCATTTGAATTGAGACTCATATGTTATTTTAAATGAACATTGCTCAGGTAGTTAAGCCTTAAAAATCAACCATCCTTGACAATTGTCCAATTTTTTTTTTTTTAAAGTCTTACCTTAAGGGTTTCAGAAACACATTTACAAAGTATGCTGTAGTGGGAACTAGTCAAGTTTGCTACCTGCCTTCATAGCACAATTGGGACTGCTGGTCTTTGTTCATTTTTGTCTTTGAAAACTTTGTTACAATTAAAAGAGGTAAAAGTAGTAAATTTAAAAAGTAGTAAACTACAGTTGTTTGGCACTTGGAACGATACAAAATACCAATGCACATTAAAAATGTAATCCAATAGAACATTTAATTTTCAAGATTTTACTTTCACCCCTTGACTTATAAGGTTAAGAAGGAAAGTACTGAATTTCTCTCGTGACACTAGAACTGTCTCTTACAATGGCATTCCTTTTGAGAAATCAGAACTGAGGTTTTCTTTGTATTCTCTATGTGCTGAGTCCCTATATTGGGTAATATTAGCATCTTTTATATCCATACCTAACATTCTTTTTTCCTATATTGTACAAGTTCCAGAGTCTTAACGCTTTATAGTAGTGCCAACAAAAATGTTTAAGGAGAGGCCATCCAAAAGCAGGCATGACATTTTGCAGAGTCTTCAGTTTATCTTTAGAATGCATAATTATAAACTGCGCTTGAAATAAGCTGCCCAGATATTTGTGTTAACACAGAAATTCTGTTACCATTAGTTCTTGCTCAGGAAACGCAAATATTGTGAACACGCTGTTTAACAGCAGCAAATATCATGTCTCCCATTTTTATGAAAAGTAATATTGTAAAACATGCTATCAAGTAATCAACATATTAAACAGTTCTCCATACAAGCCATGTACATAAATACACACATTTTATTGGACAGTGTAGCAAATAACCACAGTTGAAGTGTTCATATCCAGTATGAGACACATGTACATCCACTTTATATGGTACAAATATAGCAATACAATGACATTTTAAAGATTGTTTTTATTGTTATTTAAATATGTATGTTCTTATCAATATTGAAATATGTATTTTTTAGGGGAAAGCAGCAAGCATGCACATTTGTTTCTGCTGAAGACCTTTTTTAAAATAACCATATTAAAATCATAAATACTAGCTCTCCGATGATGTAGAAATATCTATATCTCATGACATCTTTATCTTTCTTTCTATTTATTTATTTATTTATTTTGAGATAGGGTCGCACTCCATCACTCAGGCTAGAGTGCAATGGTGTGACCTCAGCTCATTGCAGTCTTGACCTCCTAAGCTCAGGTGATCCTCCCATCTAAGCCTCCTGGGTTGCTGGGACTACAGGGGCTTACCACCACACCCGGTTAATCTATCTTTTAAAGGAGCTTAAGATATGTCCACAATTCTTCCTCCAGGTGGCTTTTCTTACAGACTTCCTCCAGGTGGCTTTTCTTCAAACTCTGGCATCTGTGATTAGATATTCTTTCATTTTGTGATGTGGGTTTTCAAACTTAAAAAGAGATTATAAAGTAATCTCTCTTCTTTATTTTCTGCTACATAGACAGTTTTTAACCTTAAATATTTTACATTTTCCTAATTACAAGTTTCTGTCATTTTCTTCATCAGTGTTCAAACTGTGAAATGAGGAAAAGAGATATTTGGTTTTAAAAAATAAAATGATGAAACTTTGTGATACTGGTGTTCTTCTTCAAAGGCCTTTGGGTCTTCTGTTTCCGTATGTATGCAACATGCATGCTGATATGGTCTCAGGAAGTCTATTAGCTGTAACTATCTTTGCACTGTGCATATGGGAAAACTGAGGCATAGAACAAAACCACTTGTCCAACATCTTGTAAAAACTGTAAGTATACACAGAAACTAATTGAGAGGGAAACATACTTTAATTCGAGTCATTTATCAAAAGAATTCTCCTTTCACTTTGATAATATGTTTCTAACCTTTCATTTTTACACAGCCAAATTCTCAGCCACAACCAGAAATTCAATCCAAATGTCATTAAGTAACAATTTTAAAGTTTGGGCACAAATTTCATATATTTATGAAGAAAGGTTTCTCTAAGTAAATGAATAGTGAAACAAATTTGCATAAGGGATATTTAACTGCTTAAGATAAAATATCTCTATGGGGCCCTGTCAATTTGGAAGCAACTATTTCACTGCAGAAAAACTGATAAACAAATCATTCTTAAATTTGTAAGAAAAAAGACTCTAAACACCTTTATTAGCATGCTCTGTAAGTCCAAGTCCAATTCCCCTTTATTTGAGACATTTATTTTATTTACTGCTGTCTCTCCCCTACCTCTTCACTATACTGTAATTTCCATGGTGGTAAGATTATTTTTTCTTATCAGTGTAAAAATTTTATTTTCTAAATTATAATACAGCATAATCAACACTAGTTTTGGTGTACAGCCCTGTGAATCTTAACACATGAATAGATTAATGTAAATATTATAAGAATCAGGATACAAAAAATTTCCTGCCCTACAGAATTCCTACTAGCAATCCCTTTATAGGCAAATTGCCTGTCACTCCTAACTCCTGAAAACCACTGATCTGTCCCCAGCACTACAATTCTATCTTTTTGGGAATAACATAAAATAGAATGCTATAGTATGTCACTTTTTGAGATTGGCCTCGCACTAAGCATGAAGATTTGTCTAAACTGTTGTGTGTATTGATAGTTTTCTTTTTTTTTTTTTTGAGACAAAGTTTCGCTCCTGTTGCCCAGGCTGGAGTGCAAAGGCGCAATCTCTGCTCACTGCAACCTCCACCTCCCGGTTCAAGTGATTCTCCTGTCTCAGCCTCCCAAGTAGCTCAGATTACAGGTATGCGCCACCACACCTGGCTAAGTTTTTGAATTTAGTAGAGATGGGGTTTTACCATGTTAGTCAGGCTGGTCACAAACTCCTGACCTCAGGTGATCCACCTGCCTCAGCCTCCCAAAGTGCTGGGATTACAGGTGTGCACCACCGTGCCTGACTGACAGTTTGTTCTTCATTATTGCTGAGTAGTGTTTCATTGTATGAATGCACCACGGTTTATCCATTCACTTCTGAAGGACGTTCACATTGTTCACAATTTTGGACAATTACAAATAGCACTGCTATAAACAATTATATACAGATTTTTATGGATCATACATTTTTTATTTCTCAAATGTAAATATCTAGGAGTGGGATTTATATATCCTACAGTAGGTCATGTTTAACTTTATTTAAAGTTAAATAAAGTTAAATAAAGGCTGAATTGTTTTCCAGAGTGGCTGTTTCATTTTGCATTTTTATCAGCAGTCTGTGCAAGTTTCATTTCCTCTACATTCTCATCAGCACTTGGTATTATCGCACTTTTAAAAATTAGCCATTCCAGGCCAGGTACAGTGGCTCATGCCTATAATCCCAGCACTGGCAAGGCAGGTGGATCACCAGGTCAAGAGATCGAGACCATCCTGGCCTGCATGGTGAAATCCCATTTCTACTGAAAATACAAAAAATTAGCCAGGCATGATGGCAGGTGCCTGTAGTCCCAGTTACTTGGGAGGCTAAGGCAGGAGAATTGCTTGAACCCGGGAGATGGAGGTTGCAGTGAGCCAAGATTGTGCCACTGCATTCCAGCCTCGACAACAGGGCAAGACTCTGTCTCCAAAAAAAATTGCCATTTTAGTGACATGCAATAAATTTCAATATTTTAATATGCATTTTCCCATAAGTAATGGTATTGAACATTTTTTCACATGTTTATATGCATTCCATATGTTTCCTTTCTTGAAATGTCTGTTCAAGTCTTTTGCACATTTTAAAATTAGGTTGTTAGTTTTCTTACTCCTCAGTCTTGCAATTCCTTGTTTACTCTTGTTGTAAGAGCTTTGTCTGCTATGTGCTTTGAAAACATTTCCTTCCAGCAAGGGAACTGTTCTTTCATTTTCTTAATGGTGAGAGTGCAAACATTTTAAATTTTGATGAAGACCAATTTATCAATTTTTTGTTTTATGGATTATATCTTTAGTGTCACGTTTAAGAACTTTTTACCTAACCCTAGATAATGATAATATTCTCTCATGTTTTCTTCTAAAAGCTTTATAGTTTTATGTTTTACTTCCAGGTTTTTGTTCACTTTTAAGTTTTGAGTTAATTTTTCTACAAGATGTGAGCTTTAAGTGAAGATTTAATTTTTAATTTTTATTTATTTATTTATTTTGCCTACTGATACTCAGTTGTTTCAACATCATTTGCTGAAAGGACAAAATTGCTTTTGTATCATTGTCAAGAACCAACTGATCATATTTATGTGAGTTTGTTTCTGGATTCTTGTTGTCATCCATTGGTAATTGTCTATTTCAATGCCACATTGTCTTGATTAGTGCAGCTATTCAGTAAGTCTTAAAATCAGAAAGTATGATTCCTCTAAGTTTATTCTTTTTCACAATCAGTTCAGTTGTGCTGGTTCTCTTACCTTTTCATAAAAACTCTAGAATCAGCTTGTCTATGTCTATAAGAAAATCCTCCTTGGAATTTTATAGAAATTTCTTTAAATCTATTATCACATTGGGGAGAATCAACATCTTTACTTCGTTGTATCTTCTGATTCATGAACATAGACTATGTCTCAATTTATTTAGATCTTCTGTGATTTATTGCATCAGTATTTGTAGTTTTCAACAATAGATCCTAGAAATATTTTATTAAATTTACATCTATATATTTCATTTTTGGAGCTATTATAATTTTATTTTTAAAGTGCACTTTCCAATTGTACATGGGTAGTATATAGAAATGTAATGATTTTTGTATGCTAACCTTGTAACCTGAAAAGTTGCTAAAATCATTG